GCCAATAAAGAGGTCCAGACGTATCTTTACTATACCGATTCTGCTGATAACCTTCTATAGAAAACTCAATGTGTCTCCATAGAATCGGGGCACTGCAGTGATACCAAAGTCTATTGACAAATAATGCTGGATAGAGTGCTTTATCCTTAGCCAAGAAACTGAATATATTTTCAAGTAACTCCAGAAGAATAAGAGGGTGACTCATATTTTGTTCTTTATATAAGCACAGATAGTATAAAAGGTTAAAAATTCATTGCATCTCTGAAATCTCGATCTGGTTAGGTAGAATGTTTATTATCTTTTAACCTTTCTATTTCCTTTTCTAGATCAAGAGGGGTGTCCCATCGAAGTGAGAAAGACTCGGATCTGGGTTTATTCAGATCTATAACTATAAACTCTTTTTGTCTCAAATAGCCGTCAATAATTTTTGAAGCTTTTCGTGGATCTACATCAGTGTAAGGACTTATAATATCTGCAAGTTTTCAAATAGAGCCCCACCATTAAAGAGAACAATGTGAGTAGCATTTTCACAAATATCTATTGGGATTTTGTGGAATTTCTGAGCAACATAAATTGAGGAAATATTCTCATGATGACCTTGAGTGAAAAATGGAATAATTTTTTTCTGTATAGCTGGAGGGTCAGAGTAAAGATCTTCAAATATCGCTAATGTACTTCTTTTAGCATTAAACTTTTTGGGATCTGGGATTTTATCAGGAGATAGTGAAGAAAATGTGACATCTTCATAATAGGGCTTTGATTTGTCTTGGGCAAGATATTTATAAAAATCTCAAACTATTTTATATTTTGGCTCATTTAAATGATGTCTGAAAAGAAATACATCATCGTATTTAACATTGCGTTCCCTATCTTAGAATGCTTTTTTTTCTTAAACATGTAATAAAATTTGGGCATTGTTAGCAAGTTTAAATTCATATTGGTCTTACCTGAATTGCTAGCCCCTGCCATCACGATACGAAAAGGCCATGCTGGTGCATCTTTATCTCCCTGGTATTTTTTCGAAGGTTTTACCTCATCCACGGCAAATACACAATATAACATCTTTTTGTTATAAATATATATTATGTTTTTTTATTCTGACGAATAATCTGATTTTGACACACTATTTATATCTATATTTTGTAGATAACCTTTCTCTTGCAATTTGCGTTTTATGTATGGGAATAAATCAGCATCATACAGTATTTCAATAAGATCTATATCTCGCTCTTTGTATATTTCCTGCTTTTTTTAATTTCTCCATCTCTGCTCATCCAAATCAATCCTCCCTTGTCTATGGAACATTGGATTCTCAGAATAATGTTGGGATCCTTGATATTCAAAAGCCAATTTTAATTCCTTGTTATAACCATCCAAATGCAAGCCTTCCAAAAATTTATCTGAATATGGTGGGAATTTTTTACCCAGCAAATCTTCAAATATATATCGACAACTGCGCTCTTTAGTGTGATGGCAAATTGGGCACTACTCGAATTTACGCTTCTGGGTCTTATAAGGTGCTTTCCATTGATAGAGTCCTTTTTCACAAGACTAGAGATATATATTGAACCCATTTATATGACTAGTTTTACCAAAACATTTCCTCCCACGCTTCTTAGCATATTGTTGAGCCTTGGCCATTTTATTAATAATACGAATGAAATTAATTGATCTGGAACAAATGTCCCCTTCTAATATACTCTGAGGTGGGTACTGCAAAGTATCAAGATCCATATACATGAGCTCCTCTCGCACAAATTCCCGCTTTGGTGTAAACTCATCGCCTTTGAGATAATATAAGATTGGTTCATTTTTTGTTACAACAATTTTTCTAATTTTAAATAAAGTTGAACTCCATATCATGTCTG